TATATATATATATATATATATATATATATATATATATATATATATATATATATATATATATATATATATTTGCATGAATCTGTTAATCAACCTCATTCCTGATCAAACTGCTGAACTGTTTATAAAATTACAAGATTTTTACTCTTTAATTGCCAAATTATTTAATGATGTCACTGATTTTGTGAAAAAACACACAAAATGACGTATTTTCAACATAAAAAGTAATTGTAGTTGGATTTTTTTTTTATTAAAGTATATAAACAACATCGTCTTTGCATTGCATCCCTATCTGCATTAATTGAATTGACCAGTTCATCAAGGGTACTTGGATGTGCTGATGAGCTACTTTTGGCTGTTCCACGCCCAAGGTTAAAAACCAGGGGGACCGTGCCTTTGCAACTCTGGAATGATTTGTCTCTCCATCTTAGGCAGGCCGCAACCCTTTCTGAATTTAAATCTAGTCTTAAAACCCATTTTTACTCTTTGGTTTATAATACCACAAGAGTCTTACGTCTGTTGTATTTGTCCTTTTGTTTTAGATGGTGTATATGTGTAGAGCACATTAATAATCACTTGTTTAAAAAAAAAAAGCACTTTATAAACACTGACTTGACATGTTTTTCTTCCTAATTTACTCTTGGTGGCATATTTGGCCCCATTGACTTCCATTATAATGATATTTTTTGATTACAAAGCCATGACACCATATCGTTTTTGATTGTTGGTGGTTTCCCCTGTTGTAATTTTAACTGTTGATCATCAGTTGGCACCATTAACCTTTTAGATAGACCTGTGCAAAAACAGTTTCTGGATTTTATATGGAGTGTAGACCATTTTGAGGGATATAAACAATAACAATGGTCCCAGCTTATTTCCTGTTTTACATTTTTAGTTTTTATAGCTTCTGATAGTCCAAAAAAAGAGCCACATATTGATGAATTATGCTATAAAGAGCTGTTTTAACATTAAGCCAATGACACGGCCATACTGAATTGCTCAATAGCAGGGGTGCTCATCCATATTCCTGGAGATCTACCTTCCTGCAGAGCTCACCTGCAACCTTGATCAAACACACCGGTCTTTAATTACCATGAGCTCCTTCAGATCCTATTTTGTTGGTTTAGTTGCGTTAGCTCAGAGTTGGAGCTAAACTCTGCAGGAAGGTGGATCTCCAGGAACAGGGTTGAGCACCCCTGGTCTATAGCCACAAATTAAAGTGTGTGAATGTGTGTCTTAGCGTGTGAGGGTGACCGTTACGCACTTATCTTGATGTGTCTGAGCAAATCAAAACATGCACCTCAGCTCTCAGAACTACATGGAGTAAACAAAAACAAAGACTGTGTATTTAACCACTATCAAATGTGGTTATAATGGAAGTTAATGAGGCAAAAACAGCCACCAACATTAAATTAGGGAGAAAACATGAAAATCTAACAATGCATCACAGCCAATGTTGCTACTAATCGTTCACATGTCCAAGACTGTGATAAAAGGTGAAAAAAATCAGTCCACAATTACGTTTTATTTTGAAAATACGTCATTTTGTGTGTGTTTTTTCACTAAATCAGTGACATAATTTATGAACTTGCCAATTAAAGAGTTAAAATCCTGCAATTTTCTATGCAATTAAGTAGTTTTGATTAGGATTAACAGATATATGCAAAAAATGTAAGAAAAAAAACAACATTTATCTGATGTGTTTTTACAGCCGTTTACATATATATACACACACGCACACACACACACATATATATATATATATATATATATATATATATATATATATATACATACTTTTTTTGGCACGAATCTGTTAATCAACCTCATTCCTGATCAAACTGCTGAACTGTTTATAAAATTACAGGATTTTTACTCTTTAATTGCCAAATTATTTAATGATGTCACTGATTTGGTAAAAAAAAAACACACAAAATGTTTTTACAGCCGTTTAATTCAGTGGATGTTTTCATCTTGAACATAACAAAAGGCGAGTAAATTTGCCCAGAGTGTATCATTGAGTTCTTTAAACATTTCAAAGCATTTTCCGAAAATGTGTGTCAAAATAAGATTTGTGATCAAAAATCATTCTGCTAGCTGAAACGCAGAAAAAGTTATGGCCAAATTAAGACTCAAAGAGTGGATAAAAACATCCCCAACAGCACAAAAGGGTTAACGTCCTCTGATTAAAAAAGGTTTTATCAACTGGTCTTCTCTATAGTAAGAGGCATGGTCTGCTTAAAGGGATAGTTCACGCAACAATTTAAATGAACTTACTATTTACTCACCC